CATCGCTTGCAGTGAATGTGTACCACTTGGCCCTATCTGAACGACGCCCCGTGGAAGATCCAGACGGATTGAGTAACCACCAGGATCTGTCACCGCCCGATGTCGAACCAACATGGTCCAGGGCGCTCCCTTACATGTCGGTGTAGTCACGGTTTTCTAAATAGTCCAGGGCGGCCCCCTCACTTTTTTTTAAGGCCACCACCCCCTCCAACCAATCCTTCCTTCACCCCTTGGGGAAGCTGCTTCGTCCACGATACCAACACCTCTACCCTCGTTTGGGGAGGCCTTTGCGTGGACGACACCTCTACCCTCTTTTGGGGAGGCCGTGACATCCGCGACGCCGACACTTGGGGAGGCTGATGACCACACCTCTACCCACACTTGGGGGTGCCTTACTTCGTGGGTCAACAGGTACAGTGTGGCAAGTCCCTGTCGTACACGACGTACCAGACATCACTCCACCTGGCATCATTCGTCACCCCTCACACCAGTCGTCGAATGCTGACCTTCAACGCAACGGAGGAATATTTCCCCGTACCATGTACCTCGTTCCACGAGAAGTACAGATTGCCGTTCTCCGGCGTGTGTGAGTACGACATCCACCTCCACTCCAACGTCGTCACATATGACAACCCAGTGGCTGACAATTCCACCTCGGCCCTTACGATCTCGAGCAACAGTAATAGCACATGTCGTACGTCGTCTCATCAACGTTGGACACGGCAGACACGTCCACACAACGGTCCCGCACAGTTGCTTACTAGTATGTCGTATATTAAGGGCACCCCAGGCGATCAATCTAACTCGACGCCGAAACATATCCACCTCGCCCTCAAGGACAAGACTCCTTTAGAGGAGCCTACGACCTACAAACAGGCGATGAAATCACCAGACAAAGCGCAATGGCTTGCAGCCATGATTCTTGAGCTGGCAGCCCATGAGACCAACGGGTCGTTCGTACCCTGCCAGATACGACACCACTGGCCATGCGTTGGGTGTTTACAGTATAATCAAATGCGACGAATCGGTCACTGAGACTACGAGATGCGTCGCTTGCTACAAAGCGCGACTTGTGATCCAAGGACACACCCAATTACAAGGTGACTACGAGGAGAGTTACTCCCCGGTCATTGCCAAAGAAGTCCTCCGAACGATGCTTACTCTCAGCGCGTCACTCAACTACGAGATCGATGCAATGGACGTCATAACAATCTTTCTCAACGGAGAAATCGACTGCGAGGTCTACGTCAAACATCTACCTGGATTTGCCACCACGAAGAATCGCCGCGATGTCTTCCGAGTCCTCCGCAGTGTCTGTCTATGGTCTCAAGCAACCCCCACCTTTGAGATACCAGGCACTAGCTACCTACTTGTGTCTGCAAGGATACACACCGCTGCGTCTTTACCAAGCAGATGGACGGTCATGCCGTTTACATCGGCGTCTACGTTGACGACCTGGTCATTATGGCTCATTCACTGGACATGATGCACACCATCAAACATGGTCTATCATCGCGTTTTAGAAGCATGAACTTGGGGCTCTCATCTTTATTCACGGATGTCATTTTGTTCGAGATCGTTCTGCTCGAACTCTCACAATGCATCAAAATCCAATATGCAACCACGAGCATCAAGAGTTTTAACATGAAGAGTTATTAACCAGCCACCACTCCAATTGAGTGCAATCTCAAACTGTTAGCGTCGAAGCGTCCTCAGAACGATGTTGAACGCCAGTCTATTGCGGATAAGCCGTACAGTTCGTCAGTCGGTAGCATCAAGTACCACATCATTAGCACCCGACCCGACCTCGCGTACGTCGTCCAACAACTAAGCCAGTCCCTCAAGAACCCCGACCCTGCCCACTGACAAGCGGTCTATCGTATACGCGCAGTAACTACGCTAACTGTGTTGATACCCGACGTTGCGTCGCGGGCTTCATGGCATTTGATAACTCTGTGATCTCCTGGGTCGCTAAGAGGCTGCAGAGCATCGCCCTCTGCAGAAATCATGATTCTGTGCACCCTTGTACAAGAATGCCCGTACATCAAACAGTTGGTGTGATGGGAAATCGCATCACCACATCGAATCCTCTCCTCGACTGATTTCAGGAGGGGAAACAGATGTTCGACGAACGTCACATCGCGGCTCGTAAGCACGTAATGTGTGTCGAGGTTCAGTAGCTTGAACCCTCGAAATGTCTCGGGTAAGCCAATGTACATGCACAGCATGCCTCGGGAAGACAGTTTGTTCACACGCTTGGGTATGTTGACGTGTGCGTACGCTACACAGCCAAATACGCGTAAACGTGCGTAGTCTGGATGGCTCTGGTGCCATAGATGATACGGAGTGTCCCCACTGATGGTGATGGACGGTATTATTTTCATGAGGAATAGTGGTTGGGAAATGGCTTCGCCCCACAAGAACTGTGGTAAATTACCATGCAGTAGCATGGAGCGAGCCAAGCTGACGATAATGACCATACGCCGCTCGGCCACACGGTTCTGGGTCGGAGTATAGGCATTCGTGTACCTTAGGCGGGTGCCGTATTCGCTTTGAATACGGGCCCCGAGTTTGACATACTCCTTAGCGTTGTCCATTTGGAGCGCTTGTATTTCCTCGAGCTCACTGGGTCGTGAGTGATGGTAGCAACTCGATGACAACGGAGCGATAACGCTGCCGTGCGTCGCGACAGAACGCGCTGTACTTGGCGTACAGGTTCGCGCGCTTTTGCATGATGTACACAAATGTGTATCGAGTAAAGTCGTCGATGAACGTGGCGAAGTTCGGTCCCCAGAGATAGAGGGGATATTGATTGGACCCCACACGTCGGAGTGCACTTGTTCCAGAGGCCTCGACGACTTTGGTAATTTGTTGCGTGAAAAGGGAAGTACTTTGGACTTCGACCTTAAGCATGTGCCGCACGAGGCATGGGCCGTGATGGCCTGTGGAGATATAGGGAATTCAAACACGGTCGAATGGCGCCGCAATTTGCGTAGCTTGTCATGACTTGGACAACCCCGTCGGTGGTGCCATTGCATAGTGCCCTGTGCACTCGAGTGCGTCACGAGGACAGTCGATGTGGGGTCGTCGATGCGCGGTGAAAACTGCGTCGCAATGACATAGAACCCGGTGTCTTCGTCGTAGGTTGTGGTGAACTTGCCGTCGTAGGTGGGTAGAGTCCACTTCTATGGGGCGATGGAGACAATTTTATGTTGATCCATGTGTAGTGCACGACCTACGGAAAATAAATTGAAGCGCAAATCTGGGATGTGATATACAGTACATCCTGCAGATAAACCACTAATGTGCCATCGTTGGTGCCAGCGACCTCGAGTCGTACTGTCCCACGCCCGATGACGTGGAGTTGGTGGCCGTCGGCTGCATTAGCAAGGGATGAGAATGGTTAGTAGGTGATGAACCACTCACGATGGAAAGTGGGTGCTTGGATGCACCACTATCGGCCGTCCAGTGACGGGATCGCCTTTGCTTTGACAACCGGGATGGTTGGTGACACGCGAAGTGCCCATCCAGTACCCGTAAATACAAGTGATCGCGATACGGTATCGAGCGAATCGTAGTACGGACTGAAGTCCTGTAATAATGTCGAAACTACTTTGAATATGCTTGACTTGTCGGTCGACTCTTGTAGTCCCGTAAATGAATCATGTGAATGTTGTTCATCTAAAATATTTCGAGGCATAAATGCCGGCATGTGTGCGTGAAGACATAAATCAGAAGTCTGGTCACGTTGTTGACGTGTGTTCTGAGACATCAACGTACGGGTAGAGCCGCGCGACGGGCTGCGGCTTTGGCTACGCTGGAGGTTGGATGCCGGTTGGGCGTAGCCTTGGTTTGCTGACTGCGCGCTGCGGCTACGGCTACGATGGCGCCGGACAGCGTACATGGACTGGCTGCGGCATGAAGACATAAATCAGAAGTCTGGTCACGTTGTTGACGTGTGTTCTGAGACATCAACGTACGGGTAGAGCCGCGCGACGGGCTGCGGCTTTGGCTACGCTGGAGGTTGGATGCCGGTTGGGCGTAGCCTTGGTTTGCTGACTGCGCGCTGCGGCTACGGCTACGATGGCGCCGGACAGCGTACATGGACTGGCTGCGGCTGCGGTAGCGCCGGTCGTCTTGGTTGGCGCCGCTGTCGTCGCAGAAATACCCGCGGTCTTCACGAAAGTGCCCGCGGGAGTTGCGGTACCGGTCGCCTGAGCGACTGCGATAGCGGGATGCCGACTGACGAAATGGGCTACGGTCGCGTTGATCGTCGCGATAATCGCCGTAGTAGAAACTGGCGTAGCCGGAATGACTGCCGGTGTAGCCTCGACGGCCGCTGGGAGCGTAGCCTGGTGGGTCGCTGGATGCGTAGCCTTGGCGAATGGTGTTGAGGAAGGATGTCCCGGTTCCTCCACCATGCCCGTCGCCTTTGCCGTGGCGTTTGCCACCGCGGTGGCCGCTGGGTCTGCCTTGAGTGCGTCAACCGCCACCACTTGGGGGTAATTCGCCAGGTGGGATGGCAGCCAATCCTGGCAGAAACACAAAGTCTTGACGCACCGCGTTCTGGTGGAACGCCTGGGAAAGCTTCGTACATGTGTATGTCGAGTGGATGCCAGTAGCCACACAAATCCGCCATGGGGTCTTGGCCTTGGGCTCCCCAGGGTACGGCGGCCGCCTGTCCGTAGCCTTCGCGAAGGCTGCGAGCCAGCGCGAAAGGCCAGAAGGGCCAATGCGCTAGACCGCGTTGTCGCGGTTGCGGATGCCGAGCCATGGACCGGTTTAGCGAGGGCTGTCGGTGCGGGCCCGAGGATCGATGGATACTTGTGTGTGAAGTCCGACCAGTGCTGCTCCAACAAGCGGCGCATATCCTTGTACTTCCTCTGTTCCACATTACTACGTCGATAAGAAAAACACACTTTTTCCACATTACTGTGAAGAAATTGATTATATTGACTCATTACAGAATTCAATGATTCGATTGGTCAATAATTCCTAGCCTACAAAAGCAACGAATCAGGGCAAGTAACGTTCGACATCAGTAGGCCAGCGCGTCTCAAGGCTGCCTTCTTCAGATGGGGCAACGCAGAGTGGTTGTCGCCGCCGTGCTCGAGAACCAGCCGCATCACTGCCTGAAAGGTAAGGAACACGTTCTCTAGCTTCTCGTAGTTTAGCTCGTCGAATCCCTCAAAGGTGTTACGGATCACGTCATTCTCCGTCCGATTCATCTTCTTGTACTGAAGGGACTGGATCGAGGCAAAGAAGCCAAGGTCCAGAACATTGAGATCAGGGCTGTTGGGCGGCTGTCGACGCATCACGAACGTCAACCCACCCGTCGACACACTTGCCAGTTCCGCGTCCGTGATGGACCTATGTGGAGTCGCGTTGTCGTGCTGCAGTATGACGCGCTTATTCGCGCTTGGAAACGTGGCCTTGATTGCTGGTACGACCTTGTTCATCACGTAGTCTCGATATCACATCGGGGATGAATCTCTTGCTCTTCCAAGATCGCCAGGGCGGCATCTCACTCGGGACGAGATAAATCTTTCGACGATCCTTGTCTGCATTGAACTACTTTTCGCCCAGGTGCACCACGTCCCATAGGCCGTCAAATTCGAGCAAAATGCGGTGCGTTCGTCCTTGTTCGCATCCGTCAGAAGCGGCTTGACGCGTGTTGAGCATCGTTGCAAAGTTACCTTCTTAAGGTGGCGACTCAGGGTCCCCAGGGTCAAGCCGGTAGCTGACGCCATGTCGCGAAAGGTGGACTGTTGGTCGCCAGGTACGGCTTGAACAAGCTGTTGGACGCGGTCGGTGGAATACATTGGCTTGGGCCCAACCTTGCCAGCGTTGGACACTGTGGTGCCATGGGAGCAAAACGTGCGCCAAACGTGTCCGACGGTTTGGGGTTCATGTTCAGTTGCTCTGCTGCTTGTTTGTAAGCACCACGAGGAAGTTTGCCCTTCTTGATGAAGTCTTGAAGGTGTTGGATGATCGAAACTTTGTCACTGCTCGAGAGCTCTCGGCCAATGCGTTCGACTTGATTCTCCATGGCGGCAAATTCAAAATTTATCTGTTTTAAGTATGTGGTGTAATCTTAATCGGATGGTTGATATTTGAAGCCGATTTTAAGCGCGAAAATTCAGTTCTGGCGCTTGGCAGCCAATAGACGGTACCTGTATACCCTACATCGAAATTGGACTTAAAATGAATTTTCGGGTCGGTGACAAGTCGTAACGACGTAGTACTGATTTCCCCCCAGTTCGAAACGGGGCAAAATGAATTGTTTTTATAAACGTATAATATAAATTTCACGGAGGTAGTTTCAAACATTCAAATTTTTGGGCGTTTCATTCCGAACAATGAAGGCGCGCATGTCCTTGGCGGACAAGCATAACTTGTACGCTGAGCATTTGAAGAAACCCAACGCCACGTACACCGAATTGGCTGTGTGGGCGATGGATGCGTTTAAGTTGATATCACCTCCAACCAAATCAACCGTTGGGAATGCCATAAAGAGGCACGACACGAAGAGCCAACGAAGCGATCTCAAGTCGCGCTCAATGGACCGAGGTGTAGCCATGCCCGACCTCGAAGCCAAGGTCCTCTCATGGGTACGACGGTGTGAAGAACTGGGTGTGTGCGTGACTGGTGAGCTAATTCGCAAACAAGCAAAAGCGTACTATGACGAGTACGAATTGGTAACAAACTGGCCGCTTAAATTCTCCAAAGGATGGCTTTACAAGTTCCAACGCAAGCACGGTCTAACCAGCAAGCGACAACACGGCGAAGCAGGATCAACGCCGCAAGAAGCCGTTGACCAAGGACGCGAACAAATGCTGGAGGCAACTACGGGTTACGAGGTCAGTGACGGGTACAACATGGACGAAACTTCCTTCTTTTGGTGCATGTCGCCGCACCGATCAATGACACGCAGCCGTGTCCCGGCTGCGTGTACCCTCGCCCTCACCACGAACGCCGACGGCTCGGACCTCGTTGAGCCCTTCTTCATTGGCAGTGCAGTCCGTCCCCGATGCTTCAACGGCCAAACTGCTGAAGATCTTGGCTCATCGAGTAAGAAGGCCTGGATGAATGGAGCCATTTTCGACACGTACATGCGATCGTTCAACGCAAGGATGGAGGCGGCAAACCGACGGGTTTTGCTTCTTGTCGACACTACGTCGCCGCACAAGGTGAAGGAGGACACCGTCCTAACAAATGTCAGTTTGAAGATGCTGCCACCTAACACGACAGCGTACCTTCAACCCCACGACGCTGGGATCATTGCTTCCTTCAAGGCGAAGGTCAAGCAACGCCAGCTTCAAAACGCCCTGTAGCAAATCGACGCGGTCATGGCTGGCCGCCAGGAAAAACTGTACGAAGTCCCCCTTGTTGACGCCATGGTGTGGGCCAAAGATGCCTGGCACGAAGTCTCGCAATCCACAATCGTGAACTGCTGGTCCCGTACTGGGATCCTACGCCGAGAAGCCGGACTGCAGAATCCCAGGATTGTTGGCCACGAGTAGTGCTGTTAAAGTTGATAACCTTGAAAATGCATTTACTGTGAAATTTGTTCATAATCAGCCGTTTCGAACTGGGGGAAAATCAGTAATGTGGAACAGAGGAAGTATGGGATACGGTTTCGGGCCGCGCCACATGTAGTTGTCTTGCATGATGCACGTGGGCAGCGTTGCCAAGAGCGCGGAAGCGAGGTGGCTGTCGCTGAGGGGATACCCTTCGAGTTTTTCCACCGCTGTACGCAGCTTGTCGAATAATTGGCGATTCGCATCCAGGGACACGTGGGTTCAGAACTGAAACGAATGAAAGCGTTGATACACGGAGATCGCTGTGGCATACTTCTGCTCCTCGCTGCGGAGCTTAGAAATGATGCAGTGTGCACATTTCTCAAGGTTAGCGGCGGCGATATCGCTCCGTACCGTGCCCGAGAGGTATGCTAGCACGAGGGCCCACGCGCGGCTGACCGCTGCTTTTCGGCCTTGGACTCGATATCCGCTCAGAGCACCTTCGCGAGCATCTCGTTCGTGGAGCGTTGATAGTTATCGCCACCCCAATGACCTTGTGAGAGTCCAAGGTAAGGGGAGGTGAGGGGTCGTGCCAGCATGGACGTTGGTCGCTTCATCAAGATGAAGGCGGATACGCTTGACGTCGCTGTCAAGGACGTGGAAGGGTCGGATGAGTCCCTGCATCGACCACACTGCCTCGACCTCGGTGCACTGCGTTGCCATCGAGTCCACCGCTTCGCTTCACCGGGGAGGATGATCACCGTGAATCAGTTGTCATAGTTTTCGGCGCCTACGAGGTGGTGGGTGGTGGGCAGGGTGGCTCGAGAGGAGAATGCAAGTGGAAGGCTCATAACCAGTTGTAAGGGCAGGAAGCAGCAGCAGACACGTGAGTGGGTGGAGGAAGAACTGAAAGTGAATTAGTTATGACGGCAGAGGAGAAATTGGATCTCGATGTCCCAGTTCCTCCGACAGCCAATCAATTCCTAGAGTATGATTGGCCACGACATCCTGTGATGTTCCGTGACGAGTCTGAGCTGTACTCTGAGGAAAAGCCTCTAGAAGGAACAAAAACCTCCTACGCTGCTAGCAAACGCTGCTACCTCACTGACAGGGCAGTGGTGCTATTCTCGAACAGAACTGGGTGTTCTGACTCGGAGGAATGTCTTAAAAATGATAACGTTAATTCAAACTCAATTAACCACCGAACTTCGAAGAACGAGGTATGAAGCGTTGAGCGAAGTAAAAACCGAAAATTACACACCGCCCCTGGTCGAGCAGGCGCGTTACAATTGGCGAAAACATGTGGTTCTAGAATCGGTTCTTCCAGAAGACCCCTATAATGTCTTGCTGTTTTAACAGCAAGACATTATAGGGGGAGTCAATTCTTAGTTTGGATTATCATTATTAAAATAATGATAATCCAAACTAAATTAATCAATTAACCACCGAGTATTCTGAACTCAGGTACAAAGGTGAGAGATCCTCCATACTACTTCGTATTAATAGTGCTAGTACATACTCCGAGTATCACCAGAACTTCAAGTTCAGGGGTACTGCGATCAGAAATGGTGTATTATTAATCAGGGGATATACAATTTCACTGGACACTCATCAGTCCATCTCTTGTACTGTAGTTCCTCCTTTTGTGAGAGAATTTTGCAGGAGGAAAAAGCTCCGATTACGGCTTGGTGGCAAGCATGAGATGATCGAGGACAAGAAACATGTGGGTATATTAACCAGTGTTGGCAGGAGCGTAGTATCGCCTCGATTGCCCGGTGGCTGCGTCGTCTGCGATTTCGGCAACAGCCTCCACCTCGCCTTCGACCCTTGATTTGGGAATAGAGGATGCAATGGCGGCGGCGGAACCGCGCTGGCGCATTCGCCAGACACACGTCAACACAATCAACGCCACCGTTGCGCTTGCCACGATGGCGGGATACAGGATCGTAGGACCAAAGTACGTGCCGTCGGACATGTCAAGTGACTTGCTCCCGAGAAACTTGGTGCATCGAGGGCCTAGTCGAATTCGAAGCATCAGGTGTCTGGTTTGATGGCATCACACAGATGACGTTATCCTCCTTACCACCATAGCCCGTGACGCAGCTACAGCGACGTTTCACGCAACGACCACTAGGCATGGACGACGACATGGACTGGCAGTCGTCGCCCTTGTTGCATGTCGCGCCGCCGTCCACTCGGATCATGGGGTTCTTGGCATCTGTGAACCATTTGATGTGGCCATCGATCCATTTCTTGGTGGGATGAGTGGGGGGATCGCATCCAAGGAACATGGAGCTCTTCTCTTGGTACACTCTAATATACTCAATCTCCATGTACATGGGGAACGAGTCGCAAATGTTCTTTGTCTTATTGAACTCAGGAGTGCCTGGAACGGGCTTGGAGGCGTTGCCACGACAGGGCCCAATGTCGGCGTTGGGCGGGGTAGCACCTACAAGTGCAGGGCAAAGTGCCACGTTATACACTGCTTCCCAATGTAGGATATTAGTACCCCAAGCCCTAGCCACGGCAATATTGAAGATGATGTAAAGGGGCTCTTCGATGGGCAACTTTATGGGGTTGAGGGGTTTGCCAGGCCCGGCTTGGGGGGGCTTGGTCAACGTCACCGACGGAATTTCAAACAAAGGCGCGTCTTCAAGCATCCAACGCACATACCCTGACTCGCCCAGCACCCTAGTCCTCTCATCAGTACCATTCATTCGTTCGTCTTGCAGCAAACGATTAGTCTTTCGTGGGTATGTAGAGCAACTTACCACTCGATTTGGTACACGTAAAACTCGGTGTAGGCGTCGTGGCCAATGTCCCAGTTGGCTGAAATCGCGTCCATCTGGTACTCGAACGGATGCATCTGGTTGGTGTTGGCCACGCCCTCTCTGCGAGGCGCTTCGCACTTGGTGTTCTTCGAGTCGGGGTCGCATAAAAACGCGCCAATGTACCCATTCGCAATGGGAAAGCACGTGCCGTTGTAGTTGATGCCCCAGTGGGCCGGCCCTTTGCCGTCTATCAGCCCCAAATCGGCGTTGGCGTCCCGTCCGGCGCTCACTTGCATCTTGTTGTACACGTTCGTCGTGAGCAACGCCGGGTTCATTTGCACTGCTTTCACCTACAAGTATCGATGAGTACACCACGTTTCCACCAACTTTGGATATAGTTAGACGAGCTTACCGGTTCGTATTGCTGCACTTCCAAAGGATCCGTGGGGCACCGGTTGTTGGCGGCGTACTTGAGTCCTTGGTACCAGCTTCGATGACCACGGTAGGCGTACGCGCTCGTGGGGACATCTGGAAAGTTGGCGCCAGGGGTGGCACACGCCTTGCCGTACACACAGTACTTGCTGTCCGGCTTTTTAAGTGGTATGCGGCGGTAGTTATCTGGCATTCCTGGGGCAATCTGAATAGACGACGAGATGGCAGCTCCGCCGCCTTCGAGGATGTCGATCTCAGGGGCGCCTCGGCCTTGATTTGGGTGCAAGCCGTAGCCAGGATTGGGGTCGCACGCGGAGATGGCTTGATGGGGGGACAAGTCGGCGTCGCACTCGTTGTACGTCCACGGCCACATACGAGACGTGGACGCCGAGAAGAGCGCACGGCCGAGGTTCCCGAGCAGCCAGATGCCAGGCCATGTGGGATAGTAAGCTCCGTCTTGGACGCGATCGCGAGGGGAGAGTTTGGTCTTGACGCCATCCTTCCAGATCTCGCCGAGCGCGTTCGGATTCATGGTCGTGCTCTTGTGGATGTCGTCCGGCAGAATGTTTACAGCTCCGGGTAGCTTGGCCGCCACTTCGATGAGCCCGCCCTGCATGCAAAATTTGTTCCATGACTGCATCATGCCAGCGGAGTAGTGCTAGAATTGTACTATGGATTAGAGTGAGATAAGGTCGTGGATGGTGTACCAATATGTTTGACTCGATGGCTGGCACTTCAAGCCACTGATTAAAGTACGTGACGTTGGTTTGCATTTCATCCACGCGGTTGATCAGTTTGCCGTTCAAAGTGTACACGTTGGACGAGTTGTACAGGCCAATGGCGGCGTTCACTCCATCGGGGATGTCCAAGGCGGTCCACATATGATCCTTCCCGGCTACAAACGATCGACCATCGATCTCAAACTCGTCGCTCATCACGAGATCCCACGTCTCTCCGCGGGACGACTTCTTGGAGCGAGCATCCAATGGCGTGTCCACGTCGACCCAGGCAGTAACGCCACTCCTGGAACGATACCCTTCGTAGTCGTAGTCAAGTGCTACCGCCACAGTTTGAAGTAGGGTCAGTGCGCCCAAGGCCCGACCTCTCAGTCGCTCATGATTCATCCGTGAAGATGCTGTAGTATCGACTTGTGACGACTGCCTCTGGCGAGAACTGCGGTGCGTCCCAAGTTCACCTTCAAGGTTGAGAACAAACAACCTTTTTGATTATAAATTCTAACTGTAAAACAATTCAACTTGAGGTTTTAAATTTAAACCACACATTTAATCCAAATGACGATCAAATACTGGTAGTACGTACGTACTATACCTCCTGTAGAAGGTGGTCGTCACAGCGACATGTGTCGATTACTTGTATCCAATCGGTAGTTGCCAATATAGGAGTACTAGAGGAACCATCAACTACAGTTTCGTCTTGGGTGTTTAGCACAGAGTCAACGCTCAGCAACTCCAGTCAGTTTTGTTCTGACAGTGACTACGCTAAATTGTATTGACACACATCGCTGTGTCGCCGGCTTTGTGACATTCTACTGCAACTATGCGATCTCATGAATCGCAAAGAGACTACGCAGCAAAAGCTTACTGTAGTTCTCTCGACCACCGAGGCGGAACCTATGAATCTTTACACTAATAATTCCCTCATTAAAACAGTTCCACTGTTGTTTTGACCCGAAATTCTGTTTCAATGAGGGAATTATTACATTCGGATACACGCCAGTAGCCCTGTAACCTGGGACTCCGTCCTACCCCCGGTGAGTACATACGACGATACTATGTCTCCAGGGTTAACTGCATCGCTAGCCTTATAAATCTCGTTGAAACGGTATTTCGGGTCAAAACAACAGTGGAACTGTTTTAATGAGGGAATTGTACACCTTTACACTGTTGCAGAAGAATAGATGTAGAGCAGGGGTTCTCGTTTTAGGCGCATGCGCCTCTGGCGCATTGTCCGGTTAAATTGTATCCGGCAATCATCCTAATTTCGGAATCAAATGTAGGATTATCGAATATAACGGACATTTAGTTTTTATGGAGTATCATCGTCGAACATAAACGGCAACTCATCCGGATATCGCAGATTATACGGATGAATGGTGAATGGTCAGCGCTCACTTAAAACAAGATGGACGAGACGAGCAGCAATGATCACCCCGAGGGAGATTACACACCTGTACCTAGCGGAATGCCCGGTGCTGATGAATCCGGCAACGAACCAGCGACAGTTGGAATACCATCCCAGGCACCAGCACTCGGCGACTTGCTCGGTATCCATCACAGATTCAATGACGCCAACGAGTTCGCAACTTGCGTGCAGGCGTGGTCACGTGCCCAAGGCTTCACAGTGTCGCGGACGGGAAAGAACTTTTCGGATAAACCCCCCACCCTGTTCACAGTGGACGAGGTGCTATCATGTGGAGATCCACCCTTTACTGCACGCACAAGGACCAGGCTTGTAGTGGCCGGTCGACGTGCACGTGGCATATCGTTTTGCCCACCTCCAACTCGAGTGTCCCGACGCTATCTGCTGTGCCTACGGCTGCGGTGCAGTGGAAACCCAATACTATGCATTCCATGCATATCTCCACACCCACCCTGTATGGTCGTTTCACCAGGATACCTGGTGACACTACGGGGTATCATTTGCATGGTCGACTATCTCCGACCTGGACCTGTTTACGGTCAATGCAAGTGGTGACGTCACAAAGATGCTCTCCAGACCCAGTGGATCCATCCACCCTGCACCTCATATGGACCGAGCACAACAAGGTCCAATATGAGTCAGCGACTCCTCTGCCCTCTGCTGCCTGGAACGAGGAGTCATTCCTTGGCTGGACGATGTCCGTCAGCCGATGGCTGCGCCTCCAAGACACGACTGTCCACTGCGCTCATCCGTCCTGCATGTCCTTCACACCCTGCGTGCTCCTATCAACTACCGGCCATTGTGGGCCAAGTACCCGTACTCCCTCCACCTTACGCCGACCTCCACGACCGACCAGCGTACCTAACATTACCGACGCGATGGTGTCAAGTCCTGCGTCAAGTCCAACACTCCAGCCTGCCTCAAGACCGCATGGTGCCCATCACCTTCGCGATGGTTACTCCAAAAATGTTCTGCGGCCTATCACCCTCCCGTCCATCTCGTCGAAACGTCTGGCTCTCTCACCCACCCACGGTATTTATTGGTACCCCCACCTATTTATTGAAAACCTCTCAAAACCAATGCCACGCTACGCACATGCTTTTGCATAGGCATGAATTGGATGAGCCCTGGTGGTGCTGGTGACTATGGCTCATTTGGTTGGCCCGGCGGATTTTTCATGGAACCAATGCCAGATAATGGTTCGGCCAAGCGCAAGGCAACCACAATGTCGGGATGTTCATCACAGCTACAAGCCGGAAAGGTTTTAAAGGAGCTGCCGCAG